ACTCACCTCCTCTTCTTTATAGTTTGCATTGACTAACTCATCAACCCCTTTAGTTTCACCACCACTGTCTTCCTTCATGACATTAATAAAAGATCTTATCTTATACTTATTAGGACATTCTAAGGACCTATGTCTTATCTCTCCATAATAGAAGTAATGACCCACACTACCTATTCTGCTAGGAGCATGTTTCATAAGTTGCTATTGCTTGTACCTACATGGAGGAGAGGGCCTAGGACTAAAAAAAGTTGTTGGTGGTCACCAACCACCACCTTTATTAATTGTTGCTTGTGAGCCTCTAGGGTAGAAACCCTTTATTTCTGATCACCTTATTTATTTCTAGAGTTCTTATTCTTGTCCGAGGTACTAGCATACAGTTGCTGATACTGTTCCATGAGGGAGTGACTAAAGGCAACTTGTTGTGCTACCTCTTTATAGTCTAGGTACGTCTTCAACTTAAAATTCAAAATCTCATTGCGAGAAAGTGAATTTAAACCTTCTAGGAAATAGCTTTGAGCATCTTCATCATTCATATTTGCAATTATAATGCATTTCTAAGCAAACACATTAATGTAATGCATAAGGTCCCCTCACTGCTTTAACCACTGCAACTCCGTACAAAGTCTCAGACCAAGACTGTCCGACAAGTATTCCTTACAGATGTGAGACTGCATTTTGGTCCAACTTCTAGTCTGCCCTTTTTCAGCATATAGCTAGCGCCACTATGTTTTGGCATGATCGGTGAAAAAGGATTATGTGCACATAACTTTCGTATAATCATCTATGTCTGCCACTATGAAATAATTTTCCATATTGTAGACCTAATCTTCTAAAACCTAATAGTCCTACATACCTTTAAAATTTGGTGGTTTCCAAGGTTTAAACTTTGAAACTCAATGCAACCGGGGGCAGTTGTAGAAATTCATCATCCTCAGAACTTAAAGAAGAGTCCGGTTGCTTAAGTTTAACTGGTTTAGCTGCCTTAGTTTCTTTCTTCCTTTTTTTATTCTCCTCCTTCAATTTGCAAATTTCCCTTCGCTAATTCTTGATCTCAACTTTTTGAGCCGTACGCTGTAGTGCTATAACATCTGGCTCTTCCTCTTTTAACTCAACCTCAATCTCTTCCACAGCATCTTTAGCAAGAGTTTTCTCCTCTTGATTTCCCCATCTAAAGGTTTTAGCATATTCAGCACAGTTCCTTTTCACCATCTCATTAGCTGCATGCATACCTCTATTAGTAATTGAATATGTATACAACGTTCTTACCGAATGGTGCAATCTAATTAATCCTACACAAGTTGCTTCAATTCTAATATAAAAGTCTCTACATATGCAACTTGAGTCAGAAAATTTGACAAAAGTTGGATAGGAATCGTTGAGATAATTCCTTTGATACAAAATGTAACACATTTAAATTTAAAGCCAAACTCCAAGCTCATTACACTACGAAACAAGGGTCTAGTACACTTACAATCCCATGAGCACTAGCTCCCCATATCTAACTCCCCACTCCCCCCTCCCATGAGGAACACACGCTTTGGGCTTTCACCCTTAGTACCAAGATTTAATCTCTAGGACAAGTGTGAAACTTACTAAATATGGAATGGTGCTAGATCACAAATCCGAAAGTAAAAAATAACACCATATGGTTTAGGACACTCTCTACATTCTGTAAATATGCCTTTTGGGCAGATTTAGACACTTACTATAAATAGCATATGGATCTGGAATGGAACCAACATGTAGGGCATAATAGCAAAAGTGTTTGGTAGATACGGTAAACTATTATGTAGTGATATTAAGGGACTAGGTTTAATATGTGAAGGTTCTTACCAAGCCAATGCAAGACATAACAAAATAGAACTAACAAAATGGGCTAAATATGTTTAGCTAAATAGACACTTAGGAACTCCTTCTTCATGCTCATCCGGCTAAGTACAAATGCTAAATCTAGTTTACTAACACTTGGACAAAACGGGCTAATAAAGGGAACTAACAATACTAACCTCTTGGTATTATGGTAGTAAGAAGAGAGTGTCTGTAAGGACTAGCTAACAAATATCTTTAGATACTTGATGTTACATTTATGACAATTATCTACCTCCCTATTAGATGTGTTTATCCTTAATTTAGGTTTAAAGCCCAAGCTCTATACCATATTAGCTGATGAAGTATTTATATTCTCATATGAGGCCACTAATATATTGAAATTGCAATTGACTCTATTTAGCTCTAACTTCATTTTGAGTGCTAATCTTGGTATTAGGAATGATATGCATTATAAATAAGGCCAAGATTAAAGAGGATGACAATGGGATAAAACAAACAATACAATAATGCAAAAAATCTAACTAATGTCATCTACATATATAGGGATGATAAATTATCTAAACATATAGGGGTTACAAACTATAAGTGGCCTTAGTGGCTAAATTTAGCATTACTATAGTGTTAAAAGGGGAACAATAAATGCATGTACAAAATTAATTCAAAGAGAAGTAACTTGCAACCATCAACAATGAATTCTTAATGGAATTTAGCAATGTTTATAAACCCATCTAAGAGAAGACATAGCTGGAAAGGAAGAGGATAAAGGGTGCTACTCAACAAGCACTAAAAACATATATTACAACTAAAAAATATATCTTTAATATTTTCTATAAACAACCTTTTTTGCAAAAGCTAAAAACATGGTTGTGTGGTGAAAGTGGTTATATCCTTTACTTCTTCACTGGCAGAAGGGCTTGGTTGAAATGCTTTTAGATTAGATTGTGATTGGAAATCTCTTAAAGATACCCCACATGAAGGTTGTAGTTGAGTTTATGAAGAAGCATCCAGAGTATTATAACATGCATGTTAAGAGAAGCTAACTATTATATCAAAAGTAACCTAGTACTTATATATGTGTGGATTCTGTATGGATTAAGATATAGTTATAATAATATAGCTAAATTATTATATAATTTATACCAGATATTTTTTATTTTAATTTATTACACAAGAATATTCTTAGCATTCTCAAAGAACACATTCTATTAGAAACAGGGGGTTGGCAAAAAGGGAGGTATGTGAGATATAGTCTTTACTCAACCTTACCCGACAGCAAAAGGAAGCACGATGAGAGTGAGCCTGTGCTATTTGCGGAGGCGATGAAGCAGAGCGCGTGGAAGGGAGGGTTTTGCGTCTAAGAGAGCCCTCCCGACGACGATGGCATGGTAACTTTCTAAAGTTTTTTCACTCGTGAGGTTTTAGAATGCCTTTTTTTTCACATCCAGCCTCGAGCTAGAGCGAAATGGCGGCCATACGAGTGTCATGCCCCTGTTTTGCCAGGGGCTCCAGCTTTTACCCAGACAAGGTTGTAAGTTTTGTTCTTCTTTATAGACTCGTACAAAACAATGTGATCGAAGGTTGCACCATGACTAACTTCGTTGGTGACAGGAATTCTCTGACCCGATCAAGTACGGCAGCATTGTGCCTCCGTGCACTCTGGAAGATGAAGCTAGATCTGGAATGGTGAAGTTCACCGTTCGCAAGCAGAAAATTCACAAGTTTCAGGAAAGAATGCAGCAGTGTAGCAGTGGTTCCTCCTCAGTGCCCTTTGCATTCCAGGCAAGCCCTTCTATGCCACTCCCAGAGTTTAGAGCGTACGCTGAGGCCTTCAAGAAGGGCAACTGACGAATGGCTGACGGCGGCCTCCATGGAGGAATTTGAAGGGGTGTACTGGTGCGTCGTGGAGTGTCCGACGGAGCAAGTCGAGGTAGTGTCTCTCTCTTTTCTTTTTTACTTTCTGGAGCTGCTAAACTTGGATGAACAGGTAATTTATAGTGGATTTGGATACAGCAAAGGTTGGGACTGGATTTCCTATGGCCAAACCAGGACCTGTAGAAAGTGGCGCTTACGAGAAGTCAGGTTGGAACCTGCAAGAGCCCCCGGATCAATTAGTTAATCAATTATCATTAATGACAATTAATCATCACTAATGATCACCAGATGTAAACACCAACTTAAATATTGGAACTAATGATACAAATAACTGTTATTAAATAAAATAATAAGCATGAAACTCAAAAAATCAAAAATTTAAAAAAGTCTATAACCGAGGGGAAAAAGTTTGGTACAGTGTTGCGAGAAGTTCTGCAACTATGCTGGAGGACACCATAGAAGAGACACCTGCCAGATTTGTTTATGAACCAGGTAAGTTCTTCTCTATTTAAGCGTTAGCACAAATTTGTGCCTGGAATGCCCGAAAGTCACTTGAAGTCAAGGCATGTCTGCCAGAGTGGCTCTAATAGTGAGGCTTAGTTGCAATGTTTGATTGTCATGTATGATTCCTGTCTTTGCGAAGTTTTCGATCTGGAAAAAGGGAAAAAGAGAGATTTTCTTTCTTTTGTTTGCAACTGCCTGTTGCTGTGGCTACCGGTGACGATGGCATGGTAATTTTCTACTCAGTTTTGCCGGAGGCTCCAGCTTTTTACCTGGACAAGAATGTAAGTGTTGTTGTTCTGGTCGAAGTTTCCAACGCCCTTTTTCTCTCTTGTGAAAAGATCGGGACGGACTGTTATGTCGCGGAAGACCACAAGAAGCGCTCCAAGCGCTTCTGAGTCGGCTGGCGTTAAACCAGTATGTGCCAAGTTCTTCTCCATTTGGATCCTTTCCTGCAATTCTCTGGGCAAAACAAAACCGAACGAAGAGGAGGCATGCTCGGTCAACATCTTCAAGTGTTTGCCGCCAGAAAGGAGTCCTGTCAGCCTTGGCTGCGTCTATGCAAGTCTTAACCGCTGCGAAGAGCAGTTTGTCGTGAGAAACAGCCGTGGACAACAGTCAATCGGAGCAAAGCTAACCTGCGTCTGCGCGAAGTACAGTACACAAGATTTTCTGGGCCTCTGTCATTTGATCGCTGGCATTCATCACGATTACGCCGCCCGTCTTTGTTATTCCACACTGTCAGTTTCGAGACTCCCAAGTTTCAAGGATACAAAACTTTAAGAAGCATACACCTCTTTCTTTAATTTTCCTTAGTTATATTTGATCTTAAGATACCATCTTTCCAAATTTTGTCTCGCTCTCTACTGTGGCCAGCACAGTGAAGCGACTATAGTCTCCAGCGAAAACGTCCCATAACGCCGATCCAAACGTCTCCTCGCTCGTCCCGGTCGAAGCTACCATCCAGATGCTGCCATTCCCGCCAGCTTCGACTTCCATCGCTCGATCCGTCTCCACGAATGCATCCTCCGCTGTCGCGGCACAGATCCCATCCGAGTTTCGGATGATCTCACACTTGAGCTTGGTGACCTTGATGCTGAAAGTGTTTCTGTTCTCGAGCTTCATGCAAACTTTAGCGATGGGTCGGCCCAGCTCGTCGAAGTTGAACGAGGCGGCTTGGATCTTGGCGGTGGATCTGGCTGGCACGGGGAGCTCACCAGTCTTTTCAGCCGAAACCTTGTACATGCCGTGGAAGTTCTCCTTGAACCAGTACTCGAGCTTGACGGAGTACGGCACCACTGTTCCTGGTTCCAGCCCCCCGTGCTCACCCAAGTGATCCTTGAGCGAGAAAGTGTACGGTATCGTCACCTTTCGTGACGATCGAGCCGAGAGCGTCATGTTGTGGTCGATCCTCTGAACATCGAGGAGCTTGTTGTTCATCTCCATGGAAACGTTCGTGTAGACAAGCTGGAAATCCAGAAGTTTACATGAGAAAAAATAAGAGAACTCGTCTATACCTGGATTGGAAGAGGATTCCCATTCTTGACTCGAGCTTCAAGGCTGAGCATGACCTCGTCCGGAGTGATTCTCACGAAGCGCGATCCATTGAGCATCCCTGTGGGAGGAACAAAGTTGCGGAGCTTCCCAATGCCAAGCTTGTCATCGACAATGGTGAGGAACTGCTTTAGCTTGGAGATGGTGATGGCAAACATCCCACGGATGACCTCGAAACAATTCACCCTCGCTCGAATCGTGAATGGAATAATCCTTCCTGCGCTTCCACTCCTGCTGGGATTCCCAGGTCCACTGTTTCCCGGTGGCTTGACGTTCTTGTAAGCAAACTGGAGGGGCACCTTGATCACTTCAGAAGTTCGAGGCTGAATTGCGCAGGAGTGCTGGACCTGCTTGACGATCACCGGGTGATCTTCGGAGCTTACAGCCAGATCTTCGACCAGAAACTCAATGTCCACCAGATGTAGAGCTTCAGGGTTTGGATTGTCTACTTCCAGATCCACATCCATGTCGACTTGCTCGTCCATTATAGACTTGACACACATTCCAACTATCTCAGCTCTCGCTGAATCCTGCGAGACTACGAGAACATCACACTTACCCGTGTCATTCATTGCCATATTAATCGATAAAACGCTTGCTACACAATTTCCTCACGTTGGACATTACACCGATTTATATATCTGAGCGTGTAGTTCTCTATAAGCTTTCCTGGATCCCTTCCTTGATTGCTGAGCAATGGCAAGGAATCGCTAAACTTACAAGTTAAATTGGTGTGAGACTTTTTGCAAACTGAGATATATCTAAAATATGCTTGAATATTTTAGAATATTCTACTATCTAACGGTTGTTAGGTTAATGTTTATAATTTATAAATTTCCTAAACACTTCCTAGTATATTCTAGTTTATTCTACCATCTAGATATTTAATAAGATTAATTTTGAGTTTATAGATTATAAAATTTCAACTGATAAATTTGATTAATAAATAATAAACACTACTATTAAGAAAACCAAATATTGCTGCATTCAAGGAATAAAAAATGTTTTTCTTAAGTAAAATATATAGAAACTCTAAAACTTTTTTGCAAATTCTTACATGAGTAAACATATTGTCATTATGCTCTAAACAATAGTAATGGAAATTTTTTAGATAGATTATCCATAGATAACTATAACATATGTAACTATATTATTCCTAAATTAATGGAGTAATAATAACATTTAAATTAACATATGAACGTCTTAAAAATTTTAAAAATACTATACTACTTGTTAAATGTGATGCAACTGTAATAGAATCTTTTAGTGGTGAAACATTATCTCAATATCTTGTAAAATATTTCAAAGTATTGAAAAAAAGTTAAAATTTAGCAAGATTGCTTATTTTGGTGGTATGGATATGAAAATTTTTAACTTTTCTTTTAAATATGTTACTAGAAATCATCATAATAAGTTTATTCAAAAACTAAATTAAATTAAATTTAAAATTATTATAAAATAAATATTTTAGAATTTCACTGTGAATTAATATTTATTATAAAATAATAAATCATCATATTGAAATTGGATAGATATTTATTTATTAGAAATAGTATAAAACCTCCAAATGAAAATTTAATCTTAACATTAAACCTATCTGCATGCTAGTGTTAACAAATATAGAAAATAGTAAAGAGATATGAAATAGTAGTTTTCATGAATTTATTGAATATGGTCAATTCCAAATAAAGCAACTCTTATTTTGTTTAACAGTCATTATTGTATAGTAAATACTAAAGCCATGCATTATAAATACTACTTTACTGGATAAAATAAGGTAATATTAAAATCTATAATATAGAAAAGTATGGAAAACATTGTAGTTAATGATTTATTGTTTTCATGCTTTCATGTTATAAATTGCAATAGCTCTTATTTATAGCAAGCAATTTGTAATGAAAGCTTTTGTGGGGAGGTATACTTAGGGTGGGTGGGTTAACAAAAAATTATAGCAATCTTCTAAATATATGAAAAAAAAACACATATATATGCTTAAATTGTTGTAATACATGTGTGACTTATTAAATAATATTTTGACAACTTTTCTTTTACACATAGGCATGCATTGTTGCCTACAATATATGCATAGCAAAGTCTAAATATACATTTTTTTGCATTGCATAAATATTAACTCTACATCAGTTTTTTTAACACATTAGTAAGGTTTAGACTTATGGCTTTTGAACATGATGTTTTCCAATGGGTAAATTAAATTTTTGAGTATATTTTGGATATTATAGGTTAAGTTTGCCATTGCTATATGATTGGGGTTATTTCTTTGGTGAAGGTAATGATATGCTTATGACTAATTTATACAGAAATTAACATTTACATGTTTGCTAAAGGAACAAAAATTGGTGGCCATGACCAAAAAGCACTAATTAAACACTCCATTATAATGTGTGATGTTGTGACAAGACAAAAATCTTTCATTCAATACCTCAATTTTGGTGATGGTACTTATTGTCCTATTACTCCATAAATCACTTTGGTGATGGTATTTATTGACCTATTGCTCTACAGATCAGTCATGAATTTCATCTTTACATGATATTGTAAAAGGAAAAGAAAAGTTCTAGAATATTTATCTCATATAATATAAATTACCACTATATACTTGCTTACATAAAACTTGTGTTGCATACTTTTTTGTGTAAAACCTTTGTTAAATTTGTGATGACATCATGTTATATAGGATAATGTGGCAATTTAAGGTGTCATGCCTTATGTTTACATAGCATACTCCATGATAAAATGTTATACAAACAATTATGTTTTGATTGTTTATAAAGTAATTGAAAAGTGATTGTGTATGTAATATTTTTGCATGCAACTCAAAATAAAAATAAATAAAACCACACATGTAAATATATAATGCTCCCATGCATAATCACATATTTATTGCCATACTTATTAAAGATATTATTAATACTTACTTTGTTTTATTAATAAATGGCTATTTAATGTATATTTAAGCTAGCATTAATAATGTGCTAGAGTTTTTTATTTGGAATTGACCATCTTTGATAAACTAAGAAATGCATTCAGAATAAAAAGTGACAAGGAAGTGCTACATTTATTTACTAAATTGTATCTTTGGAAACCTAAATTCTACTGTTAAATTAGATTTTTTATTTGGAAATTTAAATAAAATAAGTAACAATATTCTTTTTTTATTTATAAATAATTTACTGCTATAATTAAATTTTGAAGAGTTAAACAATAAAATCTTCTGTTTTTAAGTAACGTTTATTATTGTTGAGAACATTTATGACCATAGATACTAGACATCAACACGTACGTTGCCCCTTCTTTCTCATCGATTCTCAGTAACTCATCGTACGCTAGCTGTCCTACGGCCACATTGTTCCACTTGTTACACGCGCCTAGCAGCGTCGTCCACGCGAAAGCATCGGCTTTAACCGGCATGGAGTCCAATACCTCAGCGGCCAGCTCCAGCTCGTTTGCTCGGCCAAGCATATCGATCAAGCAGGTGTAGTGCTCCACGTCCGGCTTGATTCCAAACTTTGGGGAGCTCATCGCCTGGAACACCATCCTGCCCCTGTCCACCAGACCAGCGTGAGCACAAGCGCTCAAGACCGAATTGAATGTGAGCTTGTCGGCCTGCAACCCCTCCAGGAGCATCTGGTCGAAGAGATGGAAGACAAGATCACTGTCGCCCAGTCGGCTATATCCTGCTATGAGCGATGTCCAGGTGACCGAGTCCATCGCCGTTGCTAGAGCAGTGAAGAGCTCGTGAGCCTCGGACATGCGACCGCATCTTCCATAAGTGTCTACTAAAGAGTTGCTCATCACTGCCGAGCTCTCCATGCCGACCCTGCAAACCTCTGCGTGGATTTTCCTCGCGGCACCCGCGGCCATCATGCCACCACAGGCCTTGAGCGCCGCTATAAAGCTGAGAGAATCCGGTTCCAAGCCTTCTCCATCTCCATCCTTGGACTTCATGCGGAAGAACAGCTCTAGAGCCTGATCTTCCTCCCTGTTTTCCACATAGCCGAGCATCATCGCGTTGTGGACCGCTACTGTGCGTTGAGGCATCGCGTCGAAGACCTTGCGAGCGTCTGGCATGCTGCCACACTTGGCGTACAAGTTCACCAAGCTGGTCGAGAGAAACAAGACCGAGTCGTAGCCAGAGTTTGCTGCTCGGGAGTGGATAGCTCTCCCTGCGTCGAGAGACTTGCTCTTCACAAGCTTGCCGGCGACCATCTTGCCTTCCTCTCTGGATGATAGCCCTGTGCAGGCCTTGATCGCAGCAACATACGTGATAGAACACCCCTTGAGTGTCATGCTTGACACCAAGTCGAGAACCATCTCTTCCTCCGAGTTCTCGCCATATCCCAGCACCAAAACGTTCCAAAGCACCAGGTCATGGCAAGGCATCCTATCGAAGACCGTCCGAGCATCTCTCATGCTCCCACACTTTGCGTACATGGCGATCAAGCCGCTTGTGACGAGCATGTTTTTGTCACACTTGTTCTTCACAGCGAGGGAGTGGACGCGCATTCCCTTCTCCAGCGATTCAACCTTGATCGCAACTCTCCCATTTCCCAGCATCCTGCCTCCTTCCTTCGCTGCCATCGCCGCGCAAGCCTTGAGAGCAGCAACAAAAGTCAGATAATTCGGAGAACACTCCATCCTAGAAGCGAGAAACAACTGCAAAGCCATCTCACCTTCGCCATTGTCAACGTATCCGAGCAGCAGCGCGTTCCAAGACACCACGTCCTTGTCCACCATCGCCTCAAAAACTCTTCGAGCTTCCACCATGCTCCCACACTTCGCATACATATCCACCAGCGAGTTCATGAGATAGCTGTCGGAGCACCAGCCATTTCTTTCCGCTCGGTGATGGATCCCAGTCCCGATCTGGAGAGACTCCACCTTGACAAGCCTTCCATCCTCGAGTTTCTTCCACTCTTCTTTGGCAGCCAAAGTCGTGCAAGCCTTGAGAGCCGCCACAAAAGTTCGAGCGTTGGCTTCCTCGTGAGCGGCGGCAAAGAGCTTCATAGCCAGCTCTTCCTGTCCATTCTCCGCCAGCGCCATCATCAGCGCGTTCCAGGAGACGATGTCATGGACCGGCATTCTCTGGAAGACGCTGCGCGCATTCTCCAGGCTCCCACACTTGGCATACATGTTGATAATGCTGCTCCCCACGTAGAAATCGAGCTTCTCCACGCTATCGATCACCCGCGAGTGTAGAAACCTGCCGGCGTCCAAGTCCCGCGTGACGCCACACGCCTTGAGGGCCGCCAGAAAGAGCTGAGCTCTCGAACTGGGGATTTCCTTTCGAGAGCTCTCCCATCTCTCCAAGATGAGATTCTTGACAACCCTGCTCGTCGTGACCAGCGGACAGGAGCCTCTCCCCAAATGCATGCCCCGATTCACGAAAATCGGCCGCCCCTCGCGAGAATCTCATCCTCAGACGCGAAACCACACCTGCTCTCATTGTAGATCATCTGGCGAATCCCGGATGAGTCGAAATCATCGCATTCTTGGACGGATCCGGGGGGCGAGGCGCTCTTACCTAGCTCAAGAACCCTAACAAAATAGAAACGAAACTTTATACTAA